ATAAAAAATACATAAAATTTCAAATATTTTCAAAAATCTGTTTATTTTCATGAAAATTTAAGCTAGCAAAATTTTGTAAAAACACTTCATTTAAAACGTTTAAAAAAAAACTTATAATAACAACAAATTTGAAAAACTTGTATTATGATTATATATTTCAAACTGAAAATAAAATATTCTTTATTTAAAAACTCCTTACATTGCTGTGCTTGAATGCTTTTGATAAAAAAAAGCCACAAAATTCCTGCATATTGCACTTTTTGAACATAACATCTATGCAAAAGTGTGATAATAGTCTGAAACAAAAAATCATATATACATATATTAGAATGGTTTAAAAAAAAATGATTTCATATCTTAGAGGCACTTAGAGATTTTTATGTTCCTTTTGCTTCCTTAATACACCACAAAAAATTTGAAAAACATTGGATAATATTTAGAACTGCCTCATCAACCTTAAAATTTCAGCATTTTTAGTAATTTTTAAGAATATTCCAAAATATTAAATTATTTTATTAACATAAAAAATATGCAACAAATTTTATATCTTTACAGTAAATTAAATGGTTTTAATTTAAAAAAGATTTTATTTTAACACTTTTCCATTAAAACTGTTCAGTTTTCACTGTTTGTTCCATGTTTTCAGTTAACTGTTCAGTTACAAACAACATCTGAAAGTAACGTTGATTTCTTTGGGTTAGGAAATCTTTGCCGGTGACTTTCCACTATTTGAAACAAATATTTGTTGTTGCTCTTCTTGTTTTATTATTGTAGAATTAAATGCAGTGGCTAGAGAGACTTCCTCTTTCTGCACTATAATTGACAACAGTGTATCAGATTGATTGACAATGGAGTTCTTGATTGTCTGCAATCTGATCTTGTAATTTTGCTACCATAAGTTTTTTCGTCATAACAGGTACCAGATCAGAAAACAGACCAAGCAGTGCTAGTTCTTCTCCAAGATACCATAAATGGTGACCCACTGCTTTCAATGCAGTTGTTGAGATAACCTTTGATGTTGAACTATACTTTGTTAATGCTTTTATGAGATTTAAATTGTTGAATGGAGCATCGCTTAAGTATGAGCAGGTTATCTATGCTTTTACATAGATAAGAGCACCAAACAAACCGAATTCCAAGCAACCTTTATGTTTGGTGAGCTTAAATTGAGTTTGAAACAAGAACATCTTTAAAACATAAATTATTTTAGACATCCACCTTGCGTAGTGAAAAGCAGCAGGAACTCGGAACCGTTTGCTTAGAGGTGGAATATCTCCAAAAAAGATCAAAGTAAATTTTAAAAGTTTACGATAATCTTCTCTTGGTGAATTTCCTGCCTTTCCATACAACACTCCTAAAATAAAATCAATTACCTCTCTCTTCAATTCTTTAAGTTCTTCATTTAAACGATGATTGATGCATACTCTTTATACTTCTTGGTCTATGTTTAGCCAATATTCCTGAAATAGACAAAACAACAATACATTTGGACCAGAGAATGGACCAAAAACTGCCTTGAAGACATTGCCACACAGACATAATGGCAACATCCCAACCTGAGCAGATTTTTTTCAAGTTTTCTTTCTAAAATTGTGCACACACCGTTTAGTTGACCTGTGCTTGATGCTGTAGTTTCGAAAAAAATTGCAACTATTTGAATTTTATCTACACCTCCTATGGCATATTTTCTTTCTAAATGTTGGTCTGGAAAAAATATTTGATCTTCTATTTTTATCAGCTTCAATGCATAATGGTGAGCAATATTTTAAAAGATAATTTACTGTGTTTAAAAAATCTTCTCCTTTTACCTGCTGTGCTGGCCCACCACGACTCTTGTTCTTTGAAATATTTCTCTATCTTTCTAATAAAGCTTCAGTTTTACAAACAATACTTCTATGTTCAGCAGTTGGAATTCTAGCTTTGGCCCAGATCTCACACAAATGCTGGACTACAGATTGTATGGCATCTTTTAGTGTTTGACTTTTCTGTAATTTTTTTGATCTTGTTTCAGTCATTATTGCTGTCTGACAACCATCACTTAGTTTACATTAGTTCTATAATCTAACCTTAGGTAACTATAAGTAAGTAAACAAAAAATGTTTTACATTATTTCATTTATTTTAAATTTGTTTTAATGTTGTTGTCTGCAGTCAAGATTCCACCATTTTGTTTGTTTTGTTTTTATTTGTGATCTATGATCTTTGCTAACTAAGAAGTAAGTAAGTAAATAAATACTAAACACAAATTCTTTGCAGGTAATAATAGTAATTACTAATTAGCTCTTGGAAATAGGAGCAAAATTAAATATTTTAAAAATCAAGACGGAAAATGAAAAACTTGCAAAAATTCTACAGAAGCTGAACGGCCCTAATATATATATATATATATATATATATATATATATATATATATATATATATATATATATATATATATATATATATATATATATATATATATATATATATATATATATATATATATATATATATATATATATATATATATATATCCTCAGTCTATGTATCAACATTTCCTTATAGCAGCAGACTATAAGATAGTTGATGTATGAAACACTTCACACATGTTTTATGGTATAAAAATAAAAAAAAACATTCAGAACGTTTTTACTTTTAGAAAAATAAAATAAAAACATTCAGAATGTTTTTAAAAAAATCCAGAATGTTTTTAAAAAAATTCCAGTCATTTAATTTGCATTTTGTGTTTTATAAAAAAACATTAAATTTAATTAATTTCCTCAATTAAATTAATGTGTTTTGTTATAATCTAACCTTAATTTTGTCAAATTAGATGTCATAGAGTAGCTAAGTGCTGTTTTTTACTACAAATGGTAAGTTTGAAACCTTTACTATGGGAATATACACAGGCCTTGTCTTAAAGTGTTACATGTAGAGCGATTTATATACGCCTTTAAGGATTTTATATAAGCAGTAAGCGATTTTGGTTAGCAAAATTTCATCATTTTTTAATTTTTGAATTGTTCTAAAAACAGTAAGATAAAAGAAGAAATTAATTTTTCAAAAAAAGTCACATTAACTTTTGAATGACATTTATGTAAAAATATTTGTTAAAAAAGTTTGAAAGACAATTACATTCGATATAAGCACTTTACTAATGAAAAAAACTCAAACAAAATTAAAAGTTTATTTTTATTTGGTTTTTATTTTATTGTAATGATTGATTTTTTAAGCTTGAAGCAAAGAAAATAAAAACATAATTTAATTTTGATAAATAATACGATTTAATTTAAATTTAGTTTTATTCTGATAAAAAAAATATATATTTAATTTAGATTTTAAAAATATATAATTTAAAGTAAATGCTTGGATTTAATTAACTGTCAAATTTATTCAAAAATATTACTAAATATTATTCAATATTGAAATTTTATTTGTTCTTAAAATGTTTTTTCTTGTTTTTTGGTTTTGTTTTCTAAACCGGTTTTTTGTTTTTCAGTTTTGTTTCTAATTGTTTTTTTGGTTTTCCTTCCTAAACATTTTTTTTTAAACTCAAAATTAAGTTCTAAATAAACGAAAGCATCAAAAATTTGCATAAAGCATAAGTAAAACTTTTTTTTATAACGCAAATTTATCTTTTAATAAACACAGCGATTATCTTTTAATAAACGATATAAAGCTATATATTTTTTAATAATAAACAAATAAACTTTTAATAAATAAAGTAAATAAATTAACATTATTCTCCACAAATCTATAACATATATGCCAAATTGAAGTACCTATATCACTAGTTGAAGATTTCATTCTATGACCTTATTCACCACTCATTTTAAACGCCAAAAATCAAGTAAGTATTACAAAATTATGTCTAATTCTTTAAAAATAACTCTCTAACAAGAATCTAAAAATTGAATACCACCATAATTTTTTTTTTACACTTACAATTTTCCTAAACTTAGGAACTTTTTCTAAAAAACAAATGCTTTCATTCATAATGCAAAGGTGGATAACTTTTGAATAAGATTTAAGAGCAACAATAGTTTCATAGCAAAATACTCTTAAATAATGTGATATTTTTTTAACCATATATTTATTTTAACCATAAAAATATATATTTTTATGGTTATGATGAGAGCAGTCTCAGTAGACTAAAGATTGAAATTTATCTGTGATCAAAAATGGATTGACTTTAGTCTTAATCAAATGTGAGCTTACTGAGAGCATTGACTTTAAATTATCAATAAATTATTTTTTGTATAATAAGTTATACAAAACACTATTTGCTAACAAATCTGGATTAATTTCCGTTTTTTTCCACCATGATAAAGAATAAGAGGCTTTAAATAAACTTCATCCACCAAAAGTATACAATTTCTATGACTCTACTCTAAATTTGAAAATATGGTACTGATAAAGTCAATATCAAAAACTTTCTTTATCATAGATGTAATTTTAAAAATCTTAAGTTTAAAAACTGCGAGATAACAATACGATATGATGATAGTTTCTACTTTTTAAATATAATAAATTATTTTACCTACTTCTGATGCATTCATAGATGTAATAAGATCTTGTAATATCAACTTTTGATGATCAATTTCAATGTTGTTTAGGAAGCAAATTGTTTCTTTAATTCTTTACCAGCAAGATATGTATTATGATCAAGATATGTAATATGATTTTTTGATAGTGAAGTAATAAAACAATGAACACCAGGATGAAAACTTTCAAATTTAAAACTGCTTTATTAATGAACAGCAAACAGGTATACAGTTAAAATAAAAAGAATTTGATTGGATGAGCAAAACATCATTTATAACAAAAGTTGTTGCAGGACAAACAAATTTATGATTTTTAATATCTTCACATAAAAAAAATTAACATAAACAAATCGTTTTTTAAATGTTGTGAGAACTCATCATACTTTTCATTTCTGATAGAAGACAACCCTTTTGGATTCAAATATTGAGTTAGTATCACACTAGTATCGCAAAATGTTTAATAAAATAAATTGACGTTCAACTGGTCTAACTTTCCCATTCAAAATAGTTTTTCAGGAAAATGTCTTTTACAGACAACAATATCTGGTTTATTTGAAAATTACTTCTTGGAACTGGATTAATCTAACGATTTCTTTTTTCTTCATTGGAGGGAAGCCTAAAAACTTATATTTTATTTTTAGCGTCATAGTTTCTTTTGCATTCAGAAATACAGCATTTTTTTACCATTTGTTGTAACAATCAACTACTCACAAATCGAACTTTTAAAAGACTGAACTAAAATCCTTCTGTAAGATTGTCTGCCCCCATTCAAAAATACGAATTTGCAACTTATAGGCCTGTAGTAAGTATTGCTGCACAACAAACCCATTTTATTAAATTATCAAAGAATATTATACCTAATTATATTTATATAAATATGTATTTTTTTATAAATCTTTTCAAACTTTTTCTATGACTAATTTTTAAAACACTTTTAATAGCAAAAAACTTCAGTGCAAAAACAAATGTTACATAACTTAATAGTGTATCGAAAAGGTTTCTAAAACCATTAAAATAAACATTTATTAAAATTTTCATAAAATAAATTTGAATGGGGTTTTAAAAGCTAAATTATTCATTTAAAATTGTATAAACCATCAGACGCCTGGTTTTTAAAGGTTAGTATATAAAATTCAACATCACTTGCATAGTATTGATAAATAAATGTAATTTTATGAGTAACATTAGACTAAACTAAAATCATAATACAATAATTTTGAAAAAGCTTTATTTATAAAATTGATAAAAAAATTTTATTTATAAACATATTTATAAACAAATGTTAGTCTGAAAAATTTTATTATTAATTTTCATTTTTTAAAAAAAATCATCCTTCTTTTTACTTACTATAAGTGTTAGTGTAGTAAATTTAAAAAGCAATTTCTTTCCATCATTGAGCAAACCATTCTTTTCGTTACCTTTATTTAAGGAAGCTATAGAAATTAAAAAAACTCTAAAATAATTTATCTGCAATGCAAGTCAAAAGTTATATTCAATACAAATTAAAAGTTATAATCAATAAATATATAAATATTTATTAATGTTAAACATATTATATTAAGTTTATTTTAAAGGAAATTATAACAAATAATAAGTTTATAGCATGTGCTTTAAATTCGCGTTATTTTTATTAAATTAACTTAAATAATATTTTATATAACTTAAATTAAATCTTAAACTCTTAAATAAGTAATTTTTTATAAAAATTTAGTTCAAATGAAAATATTTAGTATTTTACAAGTGATTTTATTGTCCTAATAATTTTGAAATTTTGGGAGATTTAAAATTCACGTGGTTTTGTTGATTTTTATATTCCGTTTTATCTTAAATGTCATTGGTCTATTTTATAAATTTAGTGCCGTGATTTGTTTACTTCAACACCATTTTAAATTAAAATGCTCACTTTTTTTGTTATTATTTTTTAAGACGACGCCCCTACTTTTTTTCTGAAAGAACTCATTTTTTTTTATCGAGAAAATTCTAGATGTAGAGGATTTTTTTTAGAAATAGACGATTGTGCCCATTAACTTCGAAACTCTTGTCGTCAGCCATGTACGGTAAATTGAATAATAAAAATTAAATAATAAAAAAAGGTTATTTTCGTGATGTTGACGAGAGTTTCTTGAGTTAAGCTGTTAGTTATCTGGAACTTTTGTTGCAATAAAACAAGTCTTTTATTAGATGGTTGGAAAGACAAAAGCTCCAATATTTTGCAAATTTAACTACTCGACTTTAACGATGATAAAGTGAAAGAAATACGGATTTTGAAATACTTGCGTGTAAAAACTTTACACGAAACAAAAATTTTTGCTTGCAGGCTTATAATTTTTTTTTTTACTTGCAGAGTTATAATTTCTATTTATAAATTTCTGAACTTTGTCACTACGAGAAACTGTTGAAGTAACTTGCATCAAAACTCTTTTGACATGGCAATAAGCACCACATCTTGTGGCTGCAGAATGTTTTACAAATAAGCTAATAAGTTACAAAAAAGTAAGCTGAATATTACAAATAAGCTGATAAGCATATTAACAAAATATTGTTTTCAATGCAAATTAGGACGACATGTAAAAAATAATTGATTAAACAAAAGGTTAAACTAATTACCAGGAATTTTATAAATGATGGGAAAGACACGCAAATGAGCCACTGCACGAGTTTATATCTTCCATCAATAATATTATCAACTTAAATGCTAACCTTTATACAAGCGTTTTTTTTTTTTTATGTATGTCTCAAGAGAATTACCACCAACATTGATGCAATTTCCAAATTCTTTTTATTTATTTATAAATTTTTTTTGACATTGTTGCCAACCAATTTAATGTTTGTTTAACACCACGTCTAAAAATCTTATCTTTAAAGACCCAATTAAACCCAATTAATAAATAAATACTTAAAAATAATTTTTTTTTATATTAACCAATATGCAGAACTAAGTTTAATAAGTTTTGCATTACAATTTGGGCACCATATCTTTGGAATAAAATTGTTATACCAAATTTTAAAATTTTTTTCTGATTTTTAATAATAAGTTTATCTTATGATGATATATTTAAATAACTTACCACATATTTGTCTTTTTATTAGTAAGATATTTATTGTATTTTTTTTTAAGCTCTGACAATCAAATCTAACTTTTATATTATACATAACATTTGGGAAATTATATATATTATTAGAAGCCTTAATCGTTTGTTTTTGTATATGACGACAAATGTGAACAAGCAGATTTAAAAAAATTAAAATAAAAAAATAATGTCATTGCAAAATCTTCTAAAACTCTAATAGAATAATTTTATGAGCAAATCTTCCAGAGTTGTTGCATCAATTTTGCTTTGCCGATTGATTCTTTTATGTTGAGGATACGCTAGTAAAAAGTTGCTTCTAGAATGCCGAATAATTAGGCAGCTTTGCTGAGTAAAACTTACCGCTTCGCACTATGTCCATTGCACCGGACAATAGTACAAAGTAAGACTTTCTCGTACGGTTGTTATTTTAGTTGTTGTTAGTGTTGTTTTGTAGATTTGTAGATTTATTGAAGCGTATTTTATATTAGAACCCACTTGATAATAATCGATTAAAAATTTATAAAAATAATTTATATCATGTAATTTCATGTAAAACCTAAAAAATAAAAAATAAAATTTTCGTTTTAAGTTTTACTAATTCACCTTAACTACGTTGAGTACAACACGATACAAAATAATTGTAAAATGTTTATTTAATAATTAATTCAGAGCAAAGGAAAACACATTATTATAACTAATTTATTCTATCATCTATTTCATTTTACCCCTCTTTTACTCCTAATAATTTTAGTACCTCAGTTTTAACAAATTTAGCGCCGCAATTTATTTTTTTAAAGCCATTCAAAGTAATTAATTCAAAATAATAAAAATGCATAAAATAAAAAAAATAATAATAAAAATGCACTAAAATGCTAAAATAAAATATGCAAAAATCAACTGATATATATATGGATACATCGACAGATACTTTCTTTTAATTTAAAATCATTTTGTTCGTGGAAAAAATATAAACATAAACGCAAATAGGTACTTAAATTATTTTTAAACCATTGTGACATCTATAAAAACAATTTTAAATAATTGTGTTAATCAATATTTTTTTTTTTATCAATCTGATGATAAAGAGAATAATTGAATTGAATACAACCTAATCTCTTCATTATATTTGCTTTTAATAGAAAGCAAAAAGAAGAATACCCATTTAGAACAAAAGAAGCACTCAAAAGTTTAAAATATAATATGTTCAATCTTTTAGTGAACAACACTACTAATCAAACAAAAACCAGCTTTAAGATAATTGAGGAGGAATGTAATAAGTATTTTTTACTTTGGTCATCACAGAAACTTCTAAAAGACAAAGAAACTTAAGTTTAAAATCAAAACTATACCCATAAACGAATTAAAAATAAAATTTGCTGAGAAAGTTTATAAATCAGTTAGAAGAAAAATTTCAGCCAGTGTATAGCTTGTTGAATGAAGTTCAAAGAGTAAATAAAAAAGAACAATTGCTTTTACCAGAGCCGAAAACACGGGTTTCGAAGTGGAGGAGCACAATCGTTAATCTCTAAAAAACGTCCACTATATTCAGAAATATAGCGCCCCTCTGGCCCTTAGCGTTGTCAGACCCATTTACTCTTCGTTTTTAGAGTAATTGCTCAACTTCACGTAAATAAAAATTTGAACAATTGATTGTTTTTTTTTTGTTGTTTTTTTTGCGCGCGAAATTTTTTTTTCTTATTTACTTGTAAGTGTCATGTATGAAGCTATAAATAAATCAGAGAGAAATCAGTGTGACTAAGCGTGATTATGATCTTCCTTACGTGCCACATTTTTTTTCATAACAGATCAATTTTTCCCATAGCAGATATTACTTTTCTTGGATAAAATCTGTTAAAATTAAAATGATTGAACCGCAGCTTTTTTTAAAAAAACGTGTTTTACATTTTATAAACATCATCGTAAGAAACACATATATAAAAATAAAAACATTATGGAAAATCCTGCCTATATGCGCCGGCCATAAATATATAAATATAAATATAAATATATATATATATATATATATATATATATATATATATATATATATATATATATATATATATATATATATATATATATATATATATATATATATATATATATGTATATATATATATATATATATATAAATATATATATATATATATATATATATATATATATATATATATATATATATATATATATATATATATATATATATATATATATATATATATATATATATATATATATATATGTATATATATATATATATATATATATATATATATATATATATATATATATATATATATATATATATAACAACAACAAGACATTTGTTTTCTTTTTCAAAATTTACATATAATCATATAATAGCAAAAATAATAATAACAACAATAATAATATCTATAATAATACAAACAATATAATTATAATAAAATATAACTAATAAGAATAAGTATAAATAAATATTAGAAAAGGAAGGTGTCACTTAAACATAAGCCTGACCAAAGAAGTGACACCAAATAATTATAACAATAATGATTAAAAATAATAATATTATCTATAATAATACAAATAATATGATGACACGAGTGTTACTCATGATCAGAATGAGTGACACCAATTAGTTATAACAAGTAGTATAATAATAAAATAATTATAAAAATAACAAATATGAACCGAAAATTGCTAAGAAAATAAATAAAATAATAAGAACAACGATAAAGCTAAAATAAGTTCAATAATAAGACAAAAAATATGAAAACACTCAATAACAACAGCATATAAAAATAAAAATAATTAGCAAAACAGAACAAATAAAAAACAAACATTACACAAACAAAAAGGCAAAATACAAAAACTACAAGATGAAACCCAAAAAATACAAAACGAAAAGGCAAACACAAATACTTCTACAAAATAAAACTAAATTAAATCCGTTACAAATTTAAATATTACAAATTAAATCGTTAAAAAAAAGTATAAAACAACTTTGATGACATTAAAGTTCTTTATTAGAAATTTATTTCATGGCGGCATTTTGACGCAAGCTCTGTGTGTGTGTTGGTAAACTAATTAGAAACTCTGATAATAATAAGTTTTATAATTTATATATATTTAATTATTTATTTGGTCTTTATAGAATTATATACTATATAAAACTTATATAAGCAAAATTATAAGATAAAAGTGCATTAGCTTGACCTACAATATGGCTCCTGCTGACGTTATATATGGCGCCAGCAAGAAGTATATGTCACAACAATATGCATATTTTAGGTTAAACTAGTGCGGTTAGCTTGTTAGTCGAGTTTCAACACTAGTTTAAAAATATTTTTTTATTATTAAACCTATGTAGGATTTAACTCACATTATGATATAATCATTTTGTTTTTGTTTAAACTGAAATTCTATCAAGGTGGCTCAACATTAAATAAATCTTAATTTTTATCAAACCTTGGTTTTTTGGATTTTTAGTTTTTTTAATATCATTTCAACAAAGCTTTAAGTGTTTCTGAAATTTTTTTGACATAACTTTAGTATGTTGTGAGTTGTTCCACTTTATTTAGACTTAACCAAATATTTTACCCTAACAAAGGTCTCTAACAACACTTACTTAAGTTTATAATTGCTTTTTTTCTTTGCCCTGATTTAAGCTTTTTTATCAGATTTGGTTAACATTAGTTCAGCATGGTTAACCACACATTAGTTCAGCATGGTTAACCACACATTAGTTCAGCATGGTTAACCACACGTTAGTTCAGCATGGTTAACCACACATTAGTTCAGCATGGTTAACCACACATTAGTTCAGCATGGTTAACCACACATTAGTTCAGCATGGTTAACCACACATTAGTTCGGCATGGTTAACCACACATTAGTTCAGCATGGCTGGTTTGTATGGTTCATCAGATAGTAAAATGTTATCATTTCTTGTGGTATTAGCAAAGCTTTGTATTTTTCATATTGTGTTGTACAAGTTATCAGTTTTATTTTATAAGAATGCTATATATAATGTGAAGCAAATAAAGAACAACCCGACGGGCATTTGTTTTTAAAAGTTACGATCTAAATGTATTTTAAATGTCTTTTAAACGTCTTTTAAACATTAATGTTTAAAAGACGTTTAAAAGACGTTTAAAACACATTTAGAACGTAACTTTTAAAAACAAATGCCCGTCGGGAAGTTTTAAGAGAAAAATACAGCTTTTTGGCAACTAGTGGAACAACACAGCGAACCAAAAAGAAAAGCAAACATTTACCCAAAAACTCAAACTCCTGTTTCTGTTAGTCTAAAGATTCTTCATTAGAAGCTAAAGATTATAGTCATGCAAAAATTTATGATAAAATTTTCGATTTTAAAGAATATTTTAAATAATATTGAGATTTGTCCTGAATATAGCAGTGGTATTATTGCTGTCTATTACAACGATAAACGAAGCGGAATTTCTCACAGGTTTAATATGTTCCAAATGTACCCATAAGTATTGCACATATATATCTGACAAGTAAACAATCTACGAAGACAGCAGCAACAATAATGAAAAATATAGTTAAAGATAAAGGTTAGGTAAACCAATGTGGGTCAGGTCATCAGAGTTTCTTTAGATGACTTATAGCAAAATGACTCATTTAGCTGAATGGGGTGATGACGCATTACCAATATGAACAAAAGTCACCTTTGAAAAAAAAGTCAAAGAATTCAATTAAAAGTCATAAATAAGGATTGGAAAGATGAAGAATAACAATTATAAATTTATTTTCGTAATAAAATATTTATTGTTGTTTTTTAGCTTTCCCTTATTTGCGCAGTTAGTAATTTTTGAAAAATCATAACTTATGAACGACTGGAACTTTTGCATCAAATATATAAGTTTTTTTCTACATACAATGATAAAGAAGTTGAGCTTAAACTAATGTCAAAAATAAATCTAATCCATAAATTATTGACTTTTTTTAATTTGATGTCATTAGCCGACCCTCAAAATTTTGATGCTTTAGCAGTAAAAATCAAAAATTACATTTTTACCACAAGTTTTGGCAATAAATTTGATTCAGGCCCTTTATTTTATGTATATAAAATGTTTTGCCATATCTTAAGTTATTTTTTTTGGTGGTCTTTAAGTTATCATTATTCAAAATTAGGTTCTAAATAACTCATTTTGCAACAGTTTTTACATATATTTAGCAATTTTTGTAATAATTTGTTGTAATAAATTTTTTTCTCTGTTGTTTTTTCCTATTATACTCTTTTACTCATATTAGATCTTATAAAAAAAAAAAAAATTTGAGAATTTTTTTTTATAGGTGACCTTTAAATATCTTGTTTTCTAAACACCGCGAAATTAATCATTTTTACAAAGTACTTCATACAAGGTGAAGATATTTTAGTTGTTTAAGCTGGCTTAAATGAATTATTAAAATGTTTTAAAATCTTAAAATTAATCATAAAAATTTATAACAATAAAAATTAGCAACAAATAAAACAAAAACTTTTGATGCAAAAATGCACGCATACTTAACTTTTTGTATGTGTTTTATTCTAAAATAATTCTTAAATGAGTTTCATTTTAAACTAATTGTTTTTTTAGTATCGTTTGAAAGAACAGTTAATTTTATTTCTAAAATACATCAGAATAACTGATGGATGTCAACATTTGTTTGGTGTTCAACGTCTGCTTGGTATTCAATAGTATAAAGTTGAATACCAAAAAGATGTGCATAACAATAATGTAATTAAATAAACAGTAATGTAATTAAATAAACGTTCACAATAAACTTTTCAATGATGCTAATTTTACAAACCATAAATGTGTTAAAAACTGTTGACAATAGTTTATACAAAAACTTCATTTATATTTCAGAACAGGAATGAATATTGAACAACAACATGTTTGAATAAATTTTTTATGTAAAACTACTTTGTTTTTTAACATTTCACTCTTCATTGTAAGTTCTCAAAACAATTTTAGATAACAACAATAACTCTGTATCAACGTTTTGATAACAACTTTTCTTCTCGAATCGTATGCTGGAATTTACTCTACCATAACTAAGTTAATTAAAAAAATATCTTTTTAGATTCTTAAACTTGAAAATGTTAATATCGCATTAAAACTATGAAATTTTGTTTTTGAAATTAAATTTCGTAATGATGACAGTAAAAGATATAAAAAATTTTCTTTTATGAAACTTTTTAACTCTGATGTTTATGAAAAAAACTTGATGTGGGAACAAAAATCCTCCAATTTTCCATAGAGAAGTTAGATAAAAAAAAATCTCTTACAAAAATTTTGATTAATGCACCTCATCAAGTTTTCTAAATCAGGCCAAAATCTTACATGAACATTAGGAGATTGTATAAAAGATGTTTATCTCCTTTAAAGTTACAAATGATTTCCATGTTTTTGCCACAGCTACAAACTGCTCGTAAAATCACATATTACCTACCAACCTTTTCCAGCTTTGCATTTTATTTATATTTATTGCTGACAGCTTCACAATTAATGTTTGCATGAAATCTGTGATCAGATCGCAGTGGGCACCGGACCAAAAAAAGATGTCTTTTGAACGTTCAAAAGACGTCCAAAACGTTTTAAAGACGTCCAAAAGTAATAAAGACGTTTTAAAAACGTCTTTATTACTTCCGTGTAGACTGGGATGATTGTTTTATGTCTAATTTGATATAAGTGTCGTCATCAAGAATTAGCCAGTCATCAAATTTTGTCAGAATGTTTTCGTACAATTTTATAACTCGCGTTTTTTATAATATTTTGCTGCTTTTTAGTACCGTTTCGATATTTAAAAAACCCTTAAAAACTCTCGACTTTTTGCATACACAAAAAAAATGTTTCGTTTCTTTATCTTTATTTTTAAACTAAAGTTTATCTAAAAATTGATAAACTTTGGTTCATAAGAAACTAAAAGTTTATTGATTTCATTTACTTTTAAAAGAAACGAATCATTTTTTGTATCAAAAATTTTGTCTTTGGTTTCATAAAATTTAAGTAATTGTTTTATTATTTAAAACCCGATTTTTTTTAAGACTACTATAATATTCTGGTTCTTTTGAGATCTAGGTCAATATACTTTTGGAGAAAAAAAATATCACCTTCTTAGTTTCATTTTAAGTTTGTTGTCAGTTTGCTTAACTGACCTATTGAAAACAAAAAAGTTGTCACTTATTTCCATTGTTCTGCACCACTGACCATTATAGCAATCGCGGTATAAAAATCCTTTTTAAAAGTTTTTTATGATAATAGTTTAGATTCTTTTTAAGTACCCTTCTAAATGCTCCACTGACCTATTGATAAAGTTGTAGTATGTCAATTCACAAAGTTGTTAATAAAATACTTACTCAACTCACGAAAAACTAACATATTTGTATAAATATCAACATCTTTCATTTTGAAATTAACAGTGAACTAACTCTAACAAAGTTTAAAAAAAAATTAAAGAAAAAAAATTAATTTTTTAGTAGAATGTATTCATCTGCAAAACCTTTGTAACTTGTGGTTTTCATTTTCGAACCACTATTTTTCAATAAGTACGTAAAACTATGAATTTTAGTTACGCAAAACAAAGTTACTTGGAATTACAAGGAAAAGAGACGTGTGTACTTCAATACGAAAATTTTCAAACTATTTTATAATAGTAAATTAAGCTCATAACAATTATTCTTATACCATTTACTAATCCGCAAACTACAAACCCCTTATTAAAGCCGTAAAAAAAAGTTAAATAATAAAAAAATCTAACAAACGAAAAAACAATAAAAAAGAAAAAAAAAAAAAGTAATGTGATATTTAAAATTATTTACTTTTGTAAAATTTTATAATTATTGCATTAAAAATTTTATAATTATTGCATGATAAAAATTTTGTCAGAAACGTTACAAATCTTTTTTACGAAATATTACAAATGTTTTGTCAAAATAACAATTAGTTAATACCGTGTTTCATTAGTTATTTAGCATTTTATTAAAATTTGTATGTTGTTGCGTTTCACTCATCTCAATGTACCAGCGCAATTTTACTTTAAAAATTAATTGGTTTAAAATATAAACTTTATATCTATAGGGCGACTGTTCCGTTAAACATTCTAAACTATCCTTTTTAAAGTTTAAATATTAAATCTTCTGTAAATAGTCAATCCGATATTTTTGATACGTTTATCTCTCTTTTTTGCATGTTTAAAGCTGTCGCCAGCTCAACGCCAAAAAATGACATTAATATTAAAATCAAAGATGTGACAGAGTATAGAACTGTTGGTTGTTATATTTTACCTGATGCTATAAGCGCTTCGAGCTGTCTAATATGTTTACGAACAATTTTAGAAATAATTGAAAGATAGTAATTGTAATAGTAGAAAGCAAAAATGAAAGAATTGCTTGTGAATTCTCAATTATTTGTTTAAAACAAGGCTGCGAAGTCAGAGTTTGGAATACGGAATCTGGAGTCCATGAGTCTCTTTTTTTACCCGGAGTCTCACCCGTCATAAAAATTATTGGGGTTCCGGGACTCGGGGATTTTTTAAAAATTTATATCAGCATATGAACGTTTCCTAACTAACATATTATAATAATAGTATAAGTTATAACTTATATAGGTTTATTAATTCAAATTTGTTTAGCCAACAGTGACGTAAATTTAAATTAGTAAAAGCACGAACGTATTAATACGTTCGTGCTCTTACTAATTTAAATTTATGTACGCAGCGTTATTCAATTGAATAACGCTGCGTACATATGAATTGTTTCATATGTACGCAGCCCTCCGACATATGAGTTGTTCAAAAATATTTAGCGCGCTTATGCCATACATTGCCTATATCAGATATTGCTTTTAAAGAATATAAGAGATGAATCACAGCAAAAGCGGAACATAAAACTTTTGATGTACACTGATAGCTAAATGCCAAATTATGGTTAGGCTGGGCTGTTGTTGTCACGGTTTTTCCGTAGGAGCACGCAATTAGAATTTTAATATAAATCAGTTTAGAGCTTCGCTTTTCTACGTTAAAACCGGGACAATTTTAGATTAATCGCAAGTATTTACTTAAACCTACCCAGTAAGCACAGGATAATTTTAAAACGTTTTAATTTCGTTCAATTTACGGTCGGACGTTAAAAGAACCAATACAATCGTTTTTAAAACATTTTTATCTAAACGCTTTTTTTAAATGTTAATTTAAACGTTTTTTTAGCGTTTTTTAAGCGTTTTTTTTTAATAACTTATGAAATTTCTCAGATAGCTTGTGAACGTTTTTAAAACGTATTTTTTAACGTAATAAAAAAACGTTTTTTAAACGTACAGCACGGCAATATTTAAAAAACCCAAGAATGCAAAAAACTTAATATAAAATAGTGTGAACAAGAAGTAGTAACTGAAATGAACAGCCTAGTAGACTTTGATAAGTTTGATTCAGCACTTGATAATGTTTCATCTAGTAACTTTGTAGCAATTCTGAAGTTGTAAATTGCTAAATACTGATTTGACAGATTTTTTCTTTTTTAAAAATTTTCTTTACAATATATAATTTTTACTACTAAATTAGCAATTGTCCGTTTTTCCATTATTTCTTTCTATTAGAAACAAGAGTTCAAAATATTGGTGGTAAGAATTGTCAAAACCTTGTAATAGCTATGATGAAGAGGTTAGTAAATTAAAAGTGCATTCTTATAAATACTCTTTTTAAGTTTATAATGATATTACTCCCATCTTACAATCTATAATACAAATCCCATGCATAGCTCTACCTAAGAAGTTTTACCGTAATGGGACGACTGAATAACGGTGAATTTCATAAATGCGAAATGGCGTAAGTGCAAATTCACATAAGTGCAAACTAGCACATGTGCGAAGCAGTTACAAAAACTGGCACATTGCTAAATGGCATTAATGCAAATTGGCATAAGTGTGCAAAAAGAATTTCCAAGCATTAACATAAGTGCAAACTGCTGTAAGTGCAAACTGGCATAAGTGTGAACTGGCATAATTGCGAATCGGCATATGTGCATCGAACAAATTTGCAAACATTGACATAAGTGCGAATCAGCATAAGTGCAAAGCAGTTATTGAAACAGTTACAGAAACTGGTGTAAGTGCTAACTGGGATATGTAAGAATTGGCGTAAGTGCGCTAAATAGATTTACAAACATTGGTATAAGTATAAATTACCATAAGTGGGAACTGATATAAGTGCAAAGTAGTTGTAAAAACTGGCAAATATGCAAACGACATAAATGCGAACTGGCATAAGTGTGCCAAATAAATTTGCAAACATTGGCATAACTGCAAACTAGTATAAGGGCAAAATGCCAATTTGCACTTATGCCAGTTTACAATTCTGCCACTTTTTGTAACTGTTTTGTACTTATTTAAATTTTGTACTTATGCCTATTCATACTCATGCAATGTTTGCAAACTTGTTTGGCGCACTTATGCCAATTCATACTTATGAGAGTTTGCAAGTTTAAAGCTATAGGTTATCCTATAGCTTTAAACTTTAGTCCAGACAATTCTTTTAACCCAGACAATATTTATATATATGACTACACTAATGGTTTGTGTACACTAATGATCTGAAGTACACTAATGATTAGTGTACTATTTTTTAAATAATAATAATTTACAGATAAACTGTATTGTTAAATTTAATTAAACATTTAGATTTTTATAAGAAATAAAAAAAAAACTTTAAAAACTGTAGTTAATTATAACTTTATAAATAATAAAATATAATATTATTAAGTTATGGTATTTTTAGTTTTATGACAAATTCACTCATGGCCAAATTTAATATGCAGCTGGAAAAGGCAAAGGATCTTTTTAGTCTAACCAAGCTATACAACTTAATAAATGGTACATTTATATATATATATATATATATATATATATATATATATATATATATATATATATATATATATATATATATATATATATATATATATATATATATATATATATATATATATATATATATATATATATATATAGATATGAACCCTTGGAATTAGAAAAATTGAGGTCGGTAATAATTTGCCGACATCAATCTTTTAGAGATTGGCATCAGGTCGACAAATACAAAGGTCATACTATAAATCATCGAAACAAGGTCGGCAAAACCGAATTTTTTTCGGTCTTGTAGAAGGTCTCCTAGGCAAAGACTTAAGGGCTAAACAGATTCTATCTATTGACCAGCCTCACACCCCTTCTTTATCTATTAGGCTGGTGCAGTTGGTATTTTTAATTCATTGTTTAGGATGTTGAATGCTGGATCTTCTTGACTTGATGCATGGGTTTTGCTTTTGTCTCTGTTTTTATGATTAGGCAATTCTATTATCTCCAAATGAGAGTACAGCTCTAAAACTCAGTTTTATGGTTCTGAGGCTGGCTGGTAGTCAGGTTTCCCGAACTCTGTGGTAGCTCTTAGAGAGGCTGATTCCATCAACAGCTGTAAAATATCAAACAGTGCCATGCTGCACATGGATGGTTTCCCTGTTTGTACTTTTGGTGTGCATTGCCAAGACCACATCAGAGCCTTTTGTTACGGCTTAGGGTTTATTAATAGTAATGAAGCAATTGCTTGGGTTATTAAACAGTGTACTGAGTGCTATCTATGTTTCAAGTCAAGGTCTTTCACAAATTTAAAAAAGAATAAAGTAACAAAAACTATAAAACACAAAAAATCACAGTCATCACCAAGTTCGCTAAACCTTTCATTCACTAATATTCACTAGAATGCACTCTTCTTGATGTTATTTCAGATCATATTGACCAAGCCCTTTCTCTTTATCCATCAGCTAATATTGTTGTTGGTGACTTTAATGTTCACCACACTGAATGGCTTGGGTCTAGTGTCAGAGACTCTGCAGGCATTAAAACCCACGACTTTTGCCTCTCTTAATCTCTAACTCAAATAGTCAACTCTGTCTACCCAAATTAGGTGCCTCTGATCACAGTTTGATCTCTCTAAAACTATTATCTCATTCTTCTTTATTATCAGATCTCCCCTATCATCCACATATTACAACTAACTTAAAGCTGACATGGAAAGAGTCCTTTCCATGATTTTCTTTTTGATGGCTCTTGGGTAAAAATCCTTCTCCTTCCTGTTGGCATATGTGCTTCTTACATAACTTCGAGGATTTAGGCTGGCATGGATTCCTTTATTCCCTCTCGAAGAATCCAGGTCAAGCCTCACTTTTCTCCATGGTTTTCCTCACATTGTGCTGCTGCAATTGCCAATCAAAACCATTACTTCCATATCTATCAGCAAAACAATTCTCCAGAAAACAGACGTCTGTTTATTACTGCTACGAACCATTGTAAAAAGGTTTTATCTAACGCCAAAGCCCACTTTTCTCAGATCATGAAATCTCGTATTTTATCTCAAATTTTAGGCTTTTG